AGAGAGGGTGAAGAAGTTTAGACTTTTAGACTGCTTTTTCCATCTTGCCCTTTAAATAAAAAAATAAAATGGAAAGACTCTAGGTAATTTGCTGTCTGTTCTGTTGCAAGCACACCAAATAAGAGGTTTTTATAGGAGAGCGGGAAGGGTTGTTCCAGCCCTAAGAACATGAAAGGAATCATCCTGTCAGCTGGCTACTCCACTGCAATTGAGCACGGCTAAAGGAAGGAAGGAACAATGCTGTGTCATTAGGACAATTCAGCCAAGCTTCCCACTCCTGCCCCGCTTTTCCCTGACCCCTCCCACACCCACAAACCCGCAGTGGCTTTGTCACCCGGTCTGTGTACATGTTCTCTCCAACACGGTAACATTAAAGGGTTAACTGGGCGAATACAAACCACTTGTTCGTGGTGACTCACGTTCTTTCCATCAGCCTATGCTTTCTTTCCTCATGACAAGTTTTATCTTACCGACCAGAGGGAAGTGTAAAAACAATGCATGAGAATCAGAGTAGTATTTATTGTCTATGAAAACTGTGTTTCCCTGAAATGTGCCTTTATGACTAGTTATTGAATTTTTGTGCTTCCCAATACTACCTGTAATTTCTAGTCTTCGATCTCTTGAAAGGGATATAATTTTTTAAAGAGAAAAACCGCTATAATTGGAAAGCAATGGGAGAAAGCGATGTCACTGTTAAGAATGAACAAATCAGGACGGATTCAGATAACTCACAGAATGCAATCCGTAGCACCACCGGGAAAGGAGCAATTATAGCTAAAATGGGATTATAAAGGGAGGGGTCTCTCCACAGAAAGGTGTCTGAACTCTGATTTTTTACTCCATTATGGCAGAGGGCACACTAAGCAAAAAGGCCCTGGGACAGAAGGCTGGATTCCTTACCTCCTTAAAATGTGGCTCTTCTTCCAACCAAGAAGGGGGTAATTATTGTTAAATCTCAGTTCCCTTTGTGTCCATCAGTAGCAAATGCTTAATACCAGACTGATTTAACTCAATTTTGACTCATCGTTTTTAGCCTCCTGGGTCAGTGATAAACATATGCAGAAAGCTGACCATCTCCCACCCTCTGTCTCCACTACTGAGGCTCAGAATAGACACTAGCGTACAAAGCACAAAGACAAAAAGAGGTATCTACATTTTACTAAGCAGGTCAGTCAAGAAATATGGTAATAATAAGTAGACACGAATATATGTATGGTATTTTAAAATGGGATATAAGTAAAAAAAAATATTAGGTACTGCCTTTACACCTACATCATTAGAAAAACCGAAAATACTAAGTGACAATAAAAAGCCCCATAGACATTCTATCGGTTCCCACAGCAGAAAACTTTCCACCCCATCTGTTATTGGACAGTTCCATTTCAAATATGCAACTAGAATTTCAGAGGGCTAGCAGCTAGCGCTCTTTTCCTAAATCTGGGCAACAATTAGCCCATCTGAAAGTGAAAGTACAGAACTGAGAAGGAAATAATTCCCAAACAGGGCTCTGTGTATTATTAATGCTCAAAAACTTAATAAAACAAAATGAAAGGAAAGTACAAAGGGAAAATACAGGAAAGAGAAAAATTGTATCAAACTGAAAGAAATAATTCAAGAATCACAACTAAATAATGGAGAAAAGAGGCCCGTAAGATTGGAGTAGGTCTTATTTTTCTTATTTGGATTGAAGTATAAATAAAATGATTTTTCATGGTGAAATATCACCAAGCAGGAGTTTGTCCAAGCTGGGACGGCCTCCCCACATGCCAGGCTGACAATGAGGGGTGTCTCCAATCACTCACCCCCCCAGAGGACACCACCTTCTTGAAGCAGATTTACGCCAGAAGCCCATCACTGTTAACATGACTCTGGGGGAATATCACAGCCTCTCCCTGGCCACTCTTTGGTTATCCTCGTGCAAAATAATTTATTTGGGCTTTGTTACAATAAGAGGTATAATTAGCAGTCATTTTGTAGAATAAGGTATTGATGCCACAAGCCAATTTTCTGAAAGCGTGGTACTACAGCACCTGTACCGTTCATGTTTATAAATCAGGTAATTGTACATCAAGCCACTTCAGTGTGTATGTAATTAGTCTAATTTACATATGTAAATCAATTATCTTATACACAGTTTGCCAACTTCTTGCTTTCCTTTATTTTTCCCCTCATGTTGCAAGCTCAGATAGATCAGATTTCCAAAATACCATTTTAACAATCAGTTTTTTTTTCCTCAAGCCATTTAGGGATATTTCCAATTCCTCCATCTGATAATAAAACACAAAGTTCAATGAAACTGTTAAGTCTCTGCTGATTCATTATATCAGGAAGCTGCTTTACTTGTACTGGATGTCCCAAACCCTTTTAATCAATCTTTTCTGCTCTCACAAAAGAACATTTCACTATGCTCAGGTGTCTCCAACTCTCACCTAATTTCAAGTGACAATACTGAGAAATGACAATATAATTAGAATACAGATTTGATAGGCATAAAAGACAATGACTGATCTCATTCAGTTTTTTTGAACTCTGGGCAATACATTTACCCTTGCCATTTAGGCCTACCTGACTCTCCATTGAAATGCTACTCTACCAGTGATTCCACATTGGAAAAAAATTGAAGATGCATCACTGAAAATGTTTTGAAGGATAAAGATACAGAATTTTATTCAAGACCACATTAAGGATCTGCACAGCATTAGATCTCAAATATGAACAAAAACATGAAATAAACTTTGAAAATTCTCCATTTATTTTAGAGAAAATGTTTTAAGTTCATAATGTACATTCTATTACTTAAGTAAAGTTTAGATGACTACAAGTTTTGCTTCATTTTAATATGTGACTTAACTACAACTATAAAGTGATCTTAATGGAGAAAAACAAAGTAATTCTCAAATGATAATACACTGCCTATTTTTTAAAGAACAAAACCGGTTATTTAAAAAATTTTTAAATTTCCATAAAATAATGTAATACACAGTTTTAGATTCTGAAAGGGTACTTGAAAACACTTTCAGATTTCTGGAAGGAATTAAAAGAATTAAAAGTGGTTGATGAAACATGTAAATGTATTTCCTCTCACTCATTTATCTCCATTAAAATGCTAGTAAGGGAATCAAAAAGTATAAACCACAAGAAAAAAGAGAACAGAAAAAGAGAGAGCAGTAGATAAAAGATTTCAACAAAACTTTTCAATATGGAAAGACTGAGTGGTGATGACTGATTTGGTAATGAGGGAAGCCACAAAATAAAGCACTAGGTGAGAACTATTTTGTGGTTACCTGTGCACATCAACCTAGGAGTTGGGAAGGGAGGGGCAGAAAACAAGGGATCCTTTGGAAGTGTCTACTCAAAAGACTTGACACCCTCTTATCTCACATACAAAATATCAACAACCAGGAGCCTGTCCCAGCACTCCTCACATACTTACACATTCAGGCAAGAGACTGGAGGTTTTATTCCCTAGAGAAACTGAAGGGACTCAAGATTTGGTGGCATCAGTACAATGGATAATGAGAAGAAGGTGTATGAAACAGGGAAGTGAGCTTGGAAAGGGGAGGCCAAAGGATTCAGGGAATGGTGGGTTCCATGTAAGTGACCAGCAGAGACACCAGAGAGCTCGGTCTGATATGTGGCAGAACTCCACTGTGGAGCAGGATGACATAGGGTTCCAGAAGAATGAAAGCTAAAACTCAGAACACAGATTATAAAATGAAGGAATAGAGAACCTCAGCCATGTATTTCCAGATACACTTCATAAGCACAGAGCTGCTCAGGAGAAGGAGGCACCACTAACCGAATCGGCATTCCTACTGCTCTGTATTACAAGCCTTTTGGTTCTCCTTGCTTTTTGTTAACCAGGTGAATGTATTTATTTTGCAAAGAGTAAAAATGATTAAGTCTATCTGAAATTATGTTGAGTGAAAAAATAGGATAAGTTCATAAATAATACCGCCAATCATTTTAAACATACCAAAAAAAAAAAAAGATGAAGGAAATATGTTAAATGTTGACAGTGGTTCTTTTTATAGTTTCAAGCATTTTCTACAATGATCAGCTATTTAAAATCATTTAAAGAATTATTTAAAAGGCGTAATAGAAAAAATATAAAGTATGAAAACCGTACAATTTATAAGTGTGTCACTGCAGAAAAAAACAACAAAACTTTCTGAAAGAAATACAATAATCAAATGATAATAAAATCATAATGAACATAATAAATATATATTATTACAGTGAACCAATGAAGGTTTTCCTAGTCCTGAGTTTGATAAAAGCAACTATTTAAAACACTTGTGAATTTTACCAGAATTAATGATTACCTCACTTTAATAATATTCAATGAAAATTAGAAAAACTACATTCTTTTAGGACAGTTACCTTACTTAACAGGGCACCTTCCTGTATGTATTCCTGCATCAGAGAGAACCCACTCCTAGGAGACTACAGCTTCCCTTTGGGGACTTACTTAGTATTCAACACCATTTCTGATAATGGTTTTTTTCCCCCGTAAATGTAAATACCTGGTTCTATAGTTTATGACATTAGTATTCAATGAGGGCAGGAAAAAAAAAAATCACAGCTTTCCATTTTTGTCTAATGAAGCCTCACTTACATTAATTTTCTCTCGTACCCTAGCACCTGGCACAGAGCCTCTGTCACGTGTTAGCTGAGCAAAATACGGATGAATAAATCAATATTTTAATGAAGTCCCTTTCCAGCTTGTTCTTCTGCAAGGCAAAGAACCCCTGTTTCTTGAGTCTTTTATTGTGGAGATGTTTCCTCTTAGTCGTTAATAGTCTTTGTGGCTTTTCTTTAATTTCCTAATGTGTCCTAAAAGGACAAGGCCAGAACGGGGCACAACATTCTGCTAAGCCTGAGACCAGTTAGGAACAAATTAAAGGAAGGGTTTCCTGGTGTCCATGTTACATAAACATTCAGTCATCCCAAGGCTACACTGTAAATTTCCACACAGAGAATAATGTTGAAACACTCACCTCAAGAACCAACCACAACTTGTCTCCATTTATTTTATCCTTCTTAAAGTACATCCCATAGAATCTGACCACATTGGGGTGGTCGGAAAGCGTCTTTAAGATGTTATACTCTGCTTCAATCTCTTCGTCAATGTCCTAGTTTCAAAAAGTCAAAGGAAGAAAACCATGAGAAAAACATGAATTACGTCAAAGAGACACATTAGAGACCGCCAAATAGAGAATTTAATTTTGTCAAAGCAAGGTTATAATAATGGCTTTTATTGTGCTCAATAGTACACATTAAAATTTCTCATGCCATTATGTAAGGGGAGAGATTGTGATTTTCCTGCTAATCAAATACATCTCTAATCATGTTAATTTCACTGAGTTAAAAAGGGACAAATAAAAGACTATTTTTGTATGCAATTAGGAAGAAACATACATGAAGAAGGATTCCAAAGGATATTCCTTTCTTTGCAGCGTTACCTTTGTTTCTGTGGCAAAGCCACTGATTTGAAATAAAAACTTTTAGGTGGTTCATTTGGTGCCTTGGAAATAGACAATATATAGAAGTTTTCAAAAAGTAGTCATACAAGCAATAAATGCCTATCTTTCTGAAAAAGTAAAATAAAGTTACACATAAGATGCCATTTCGCAGGCTCAGTCGCCAGAAGTAGAACAGGTTGCTACCCTTGCCAACAAAGATGCAAGATAAACACTTAGTCATGTTTGTAGAAAACTACAACCCATGAAAGGACTCAAGAGTAGTAATAAGAGAAAGGCTTCGAACACTGTTTTTACAGCAACATTTAGTGTCCACATTGTTTTATGACAAAATCATGTAATCATAGAGCCGGAAAGAATTATAGACCAGAGCTCTAATTTGAAAAAAAGAAGTAAAGCTCAGAGAGGTTGGTCACAGAGCTGGTTAGTGTAAAATCAGGACTAGCTTGCAAGTCCCCTGCCTCCTTCTTTCTAATCCCATTCATTGTATCTCGTATCAAAAGTTATAATAGACTCTCTTACTTAAGAAAAAGCCACTCTATAAAATGCTTGGGATGCATTTAAATTTATTTCACAAAGATTATAATCTCTTGTTTATAAATCTTTTTTATTTGGCTTGTGACATTATGAAGGAAGAGGAAATCGATAATTCTGAGGAAAAACATACATGTACTATGACAAGAATAAAAGCAGCAAAAGAGCCAATTTCATAACAGAGTTATAAAACCAATATATTTTATTAAAGCAATAGAACAAAACATGATTTTAAAGGTTCATAGGATATGAAACAGGAGTAAATTATAAAAGAACAATGTCCACATGTATTCATAATCCATTTGTCCTTCTCCGTTAAGAAGTGGAGGAATGGGAGAGACACGCTGGTTATGGCACCAGACATGGGATCCGGCTGGAGCCCTTTCTCTTGCCATCATGAACCCCAACCTATACTTGCAAAGACCAGAGGAGATAGGTACAGTCACTCTGGTACAGCTTCATTTGTATTTGTGTCTCTCTTCCTTCAGTTTAAATGGTAAGGACTGTCTGGGTGGCTCAATTGGTTAAGCATCTGCTTTTGGCTCAGGTCATGATCTGGGGTCCTGCGATAGAACTCCATGTCAGACTCCCTGCTCAGTGGGGTGTTTCCTTCTCCCTTTGCCCCTCCCCCCACCCTTAATCCCGCTCATGCTCGCTCTCTCTCTCTCTTTCAAATAAACAAATAAACAAAATCTTTTAAAAAATGGTGAGAACTTTCCAATAGGGGAATATGAAAACATTCAGCATCAGTTAAGTCTGGACATAGCTCTCTCTTTTTCTTCCCCCAGCGTATGTAATTTATTGCTTGAAAATGAACCCCTACTCTCCCTCTCCTCTTCTCAAAATAATATGAAACGCTGTAGTTATAATGGGTTTAGTAGGAATAAACAATCAAAAACAGAAAGTGCAATCCTGGAGACCTTTTGCAGAGTCCTACAGTTTGTTAGTGAAAGAGCTATGACAAGGACCAGGAGTCCCATGTTCTTCCCAAACATATCACGTCACCCCATCATGTGTGCAAGGGTCAGGTAACTGGAGAAACTGCTCTCAATAGAAGTTCGGGGATTATGGGATCACTGACCTCCTTCTGGCTCACCCAAGTGCTGCGGGGGAGCTACATATTTCCCAGGAGCTGAAAATGTTCCAAAACAGCCAGTTCTCATTCCCAGAAAAAAAAAAAAAAAGGGCGGGAGGGGAACTCATCAACTTCTTTACACTCTTCAAGGCCCCCCCCCCAAAAAAAGCCTAGGAAGATTCCCTTATCACAACTGCTATTCCAAAAAAAGCAAAAAGAGTACCCCTACTGGGGCATCACTTACAGAGGCCAAAAGACTACACATGAAATTTCAGCTCTTCACAAGGAAACTGACCCTGATTATAAGGGAATACCATTCCTGCTTTGGAAACATTTCAGCAAACCTGAAAATTAATTTCCTATCTCTGAGAGAAATATAATTTAACATAAAATATTTCTGGGTTAGCTTAAGAGATAGTCTGCCTGAAGCCTCAATAAAAGCAGGAAGAAAAAGAGATCTGGCCAAGATGACATCTGAGAATGACTTCTAGACCCTTGAGCCTGTTCTTACAAACTTTTTGAAATCTAAAATAACATTAAATCAACTGATGAGCTATTAAGAGCTGTATTTATTCATTTACTTATTTGTATTACATGTCTGTTCAATTAAATATTTATTGGTCCCTACTGCATGTGTTAAGTGTATAAACAAGAAAAACCTAACAAACAGACTTTTTTTTTTTTTTACATTTTCTTCAACAGCAATTGACATTGTGACAAATCAATTAAGTTTCTATAGACTTTTTAACTCTTTAGTACAAATGAAAACAAAGTTAATTCGCAGGAAAAAACTGAAAAATAATGTGACATACATGAATCGGGTCCAGAATTTTCACTGCTGCTTTTTGGCCATTTTTCTTATTCAGCACTTTAAAAACTTTCCCGTAAGTTCCTTTGCCAATTGTTTCGGTGATTTCCCATGTATCAGAAGGATCAGGAAAGTTATCAAAGATGATTGTTTTTCCAGTTAATGGAAGCATCTCACAAGTCTAAATCCCTAGAGAGAAAAAGTATAGTTTCAGCTACATTTGATTGGGGATATTAAATCGCACACATAAACTCATGGGAAAATATCTAACATTTCACTGACATGATAGAAAATACACAGCAGTAACCAAATGTACTCAGAATTACAGAAAATTTTAATTTCAATTCTTTTTGCAAACAGATCAATATGAGTTTAATAATCCTTTGTAAACAGGGCTTTATTTCTACGTTTAATACAATCCCATATTAATTGCTCTTCATTCTTCTCATATTAAAATAAGAGGCACATATTTAAATCACTTTGATATACTGCTTTATATTCAGATATTAACGTAATGAATAAAAAAATTAAAATTAACCTTAGAGATGATAAAATTCAATTTTGTCAAGGCAAATCCTACACTTTGAAGTGATTGTGTCTTACACCACTCCTCTATGTAAAACCCAACAATGGGTCCCCTCATATTGCTTTTAGGAGTTGTTGTTGTTTTTTTTTTTTTTGTATTTTATTTATTTGACAGAGAGAAAGAGAGAGAGAGAGCACAAGCAGGGGGAGCAGCAGGCAGAGGGAGAGGGAGAGGCAGTCTCCCCGCCAAGCAGGGAAGCCAATGTGGGGCTCAATCCCAGGACTCTGGGATCATGACCTGAGCCAAAAGCAGATGCTTAACTGACTGAGCCACCCAGATTCTCATACTACTTTTAGGATGAAATTTAACACAACCTACCAGATCCTTTAAAGTATGGCCCTCGCTTAATGTCCTAGCTTCATGTCTCAACTCTTCTTTTCCCAGATACTACACACCAGTCACTCGGGATCATTTAAATTCATTTCTTTCTTGCTTAAGGATCTTAGTAGACATGAATCCCTCCCACGTCTGCCTGTGGTTTCTTTACTAAATTCCAGCACCTTCTTATCTTTTAGCTCTTGGCTTAGATGTCATTACCTCTGAATGCGACCACTGTCCATCCCATGTGGGTTGCATGTCCAGCCCTGTACTCATGTAGCACTCTACCCATGTTTATCCGATCTTACAATATGCCCTACACCTGGCACAGTGCTGAAATAATTAGAATACAGCCAATAGGTCAGGTGACTTTTAAAAGCAGATGTTATATGTGACCTGAAATAAGATCCCAGGTTTCTTGACTTCCCAGTAATGTTTTTAACCTTCTATGTTCTTCCTATATTATATTCAACAATTTATATAGAATTACCAAAACAAAAAAACAAACAAACAAAAAAAGTAACAGAAAGGGTTCCCACAACTTCTGGTGGCCCTTACATTTTTTCAATTATCTGTGTAAACGCTATCTTTGGTGTTAAAAAGTTGTGTGCAGTTGTGCTTGTATGTGTACGCATACATGCAGAAACGTATCTTTTAATAAATAGGTATCATTGCTACATAATAATGTCAGCCCATGAAATTCATCAGTCTAACCACAATTTTGTATCTCAGCTACACCACTGATCCACTGAGTCCTCTCTTTATAGCCATCAACCTGTTCATTTTTCATTCCTTCTTCATTTGCTTCTTCCCAGCATAAATTCTATAGCTTGAATTATTATGATTTCCTTGCAAATACCCTTAACTCTCTTGTTCCTCTTTCTCTGCCATCAGTCTCCCAGAATAAAAAAAGCCAAGTCTGATTAAACCCTACATGTCCTCACACCCGTGACTATAGATAGACAAAAACTACACAACCATATTGACTGGTTTCACTTCAAATTCAGAATAACAAACCTACAAGTAGACCCTGAACACTACCTAGAAGTCCTACTGTGTTTCCCTGGTTTGTCTATTCCTTTCTCACTATTTCACAGTGATCTCTGTTCTCACATTTTTCTGTCCTCAAATTGTTCTTCTTTATTCTCTATCCCCTTGCACAAAATTTCCCAATTGATGCCCGTACTTAATAAATAATTGAAAAGACAAAAGCAACAACAAACTCCTTAAAACTACAAACTTCTCATCCTGAAGACTACAAACCAATGTGCATCAAACATGAATTCATTCTCATTGATTCTATCATTGATTTTTGCTCTTTGGCCTCAACTAGTCTGTTTCTTCAGTTCCTTCACAGCCTGCAGATCCTGGCTAAAGCATCACTTTCTTAGAAGGGTCTTTCTTGACCAACCTACATAAAGTTACAAAAGAGTATAGGCTTTATTTTTACTACTGTAACTGCCATTCCCAGAATAATGCCTAGCAAAAAAATAAGGATTAGGGAGAGCAGAAAAGAATTTTGAAATTCTAAACAAAATAAGGATCATGTTCTGATTCATTATACTTAAGGGCACATCATCTCATAAATGGCTATGAATGGCTCTAAAAATTACATCACTACATAAAAACACCCTCATGAATAGTTCTCAGAACACTTAATCTTTCTGAAATTTGTGCCTTTGATCCAAAATGCAATGGAATAAGTAGGAGGTAATCAGTAATAATCATCCCCTTTAGTGATTTCACAATCAGTGACATGATAACTACTTCTTACATCTATGTACTTGAGTCATGCAAATAAGCATTTATGCCATCCATATAATGTAAAAGTTAGACCAAAAGACCAAATTAAATCTTGTTAAATGCCTGAAATAAGCATTTTTATCCACAAGAGACATTCATTATACAGAATACTGCTTTTCAAGTGGTAGCATTATTCAACATGATTTTAATTTCTGCGACATTAATTGTTAGGAATTAACTATTGGCATTTAAATATACAGGCATAAGAATGACTGAACACCTAATGTATGCAGAGTATGTTAGAGTCTTGGGGATACAAAGATAGTCAACTCATGGATAGATATATGTAAGTAATATTAAGAAAAGTGACAGATAATGGAAACAAGCTTAAAGTGCTATAGAAACCCAGGTGAAGAAGCAATTAATTCTGGAGTGATCATAAAAGGATACAGAAAATAAGCAGGATTGGAGCTGGACATTAAACATGAATGGAAGTTTGTCCAAAATATAATTTCCTCTTTAACGATTCTCAGTAAGATAAATATTTAAAGCAGTGCATTGTTATATTATAAAAAATTATAAAACAATAATCACAGAATAACTAAAGCCCAGGTGTTTGGGAAACAGAATACACTTAGTCAAATGTCATTTAAAAGAAAAAAAACTCCCAAGAAGTAGATGAAATTAAGTCTAAAATGACATCCTCAAAATTAAACATTAAAGAATTCAAAACCTTAGAATAGAAACAAGTCTTCTGAATTTTATGCTGTACTTTTTCCAGTACTGATAGGTTATTATTAAGAATAAAATATCAGTTAGTAAACAACCAATTATTTAATGATTATAGTAGGTTGTATCCTACATGGCAATGATTGTTCTTATTTTTTCTAGTCCTTTACCACTCATGGAATAAAAAATAATTCTCTAGCTCATAAAAATGAATAACTTCTTAATTATATCATCATATATGCTAAATATCTTTTTGGCATATATACAGTAAGTATATATTTTGTACACATATATGTACATTATGTTATAGTATATATTATATATATATTTTGACATATGTATTTACCATAATTCAAAAAGGTACTTCCATTTTAAAAGCTACATTTAAAAAATGAAAAATCATCTTTTTGAATTGATTTATTATATATTGAGCTGCTGAGGGGTTTTTTTCATGATTAAAAAAAGACCATATTACAATGAAAAAAGTATCTTACTTCAGGATCTTATCAGTCATATTAACACTTATTTTGACTGCTTTTGTAAACCTTTCTTCCATTCTTCTTTACTAAAATAACCAAACTGACTTCATGCTCATTCTAAAACACAGCAGGGCTGATCTCCCTTTGGGCTATGTTTTCCCTCTGCCTGGAATGCTCTTTCTCTAGATATCCATTTTGCCTACTCCTCACTTTCTTTAATTCTTGCATCAGCCATCACATCCTCAGTAAGTCTTATCCTAACCACCCTGTTTAAAATGCCACCTTTCCCCCCTCCACCCTATCCTATCTCCAAATTCCTGGTCCCTCTTTCCCTCTTTCCCCACTATATTTTCATAACATTTTTTATCTCCTTTTTATCTTGCTACAACACTTCCGGTTTATTATGTTTTAATTATTGGTTTTCTATACTACTAGAATTTAAGCCCATGAGCACTGAAATTTTATCCAGGTTGTTCACTGATATATCCCAAAGACTCTAAACCCATGACAGGCACAGAAGAAGTACTCAATAAATACTTGTTGAATACTGAATAGAAACGAATAGAACATAGTAACCAGAAAATTTTCAGGTGATTTTACCAATGAATTCAATAAAATGATTAAGAAAGAAAGAATGTCATCTGATACAAGCTTTTTTCAGAGACTAGTGATAGACAGAACACTTGAAAGTACCTACAAAGAGACAGAAGTTGTTTTTTTTTTTTAAAGAACCAAACAGAAATTCCAGATATGAAAATTAAAATAATTGAATTGAAAAATTCCCTGGACGGGTTTAATAACAGACTTGCACAGGCAGAAGAAAACCAGCCAACTTAAAGCCAAGTAATTTGAAATTATCAAGTCTGAGGGAAAAAAAGAAAAAGAAATGTAGAAAAATGAACAGAGCCTAAGGGACTCATGAGATCCCATCAAGAGGACCAATATAAGCATTACGAGTAAGAGAAGAAGAAGAAGAAAAAGAAACAGAATGAGACAAGGAGAATATTTGAAGAAATGATGGCTGAAAACATCATAAATTTAAGTAAAATACATGGATATACAAATCCAAGTAGATGGATCTACAAACCTAAGAGGCCCCCAAAACTGCAAAGATAAATCCCAAGAAACCTATACTGAGACACATTATAATGAAGCTGTCGAAAGACAAAGACAAAGAAGGAATCTTGAAGGCAGCAAAAGAAAAGCAACTCACCATTTACAAGATCTCCCAGCAGAAATCTTGTAAGTCAGAAGGTAGTGGGACAACACAGTTAATGTGCTGAAAGAAAGACTTGTCAACTGAGAATTTTATATGCAGCAAAAGTGTCCTTCAA